CTCTGTCCTCAAGCAATTTGATATTCTTGAGGAGAATGTCACTTGTACGTGCACCTTGGTCGCCTGACGATCCGACATATGGTCTGACGCCGTTTACGAATAGTGATAGAATCTATCAACAACAATCGCGATCCACAGCCCTCGTTTGAGGCGGTATACTTGCTGATGCCAACATCGCAAAACGTTGACCGCATAATCAAAGACTTCTCCGGTGCCATAAAGCAGTATGCGGGCGCGCACTTGTTCTTTACGGAAGGTACGTTGCGTCATCCAACTCTATTCTGTATGCATAGAGTACTGACATGGTGCTCGCTCAGGTTTGGAAGAGCAACTGTTTGAGAAACTCACGTCTTCGCCAGCGGAGCCGTTCTTGCGAGGCTTGAGAGAGGTTTACTTGAATTTCTGGGGTACGATCTCGCGTTATCATTTGATAACCTACTCTGACGCGATCGACAGCAACGGAAGCGCGAGTGTTTTCCCTACAAGACCCCGCTTTATTCTTCAGTTTATACAGTCCTCCACGTGGGGATTCGGCCTTCAAGTTAGCGCGTATCCGGATAGAAGAGGATTTGAGGCTGGTCTCTAAGGCGGTGTGTGCTGACCTCATTATGATGCTTTGTACATACCTGACACTCCTGTTATAAGATAACAAACGTGTGCATTACTTTAAATGAATTCCCTTTCATCCGCTACTACACACCGTCGCACCATCCTCCACTCGGTGCTCTCAAGCCACACGCCGAAACTCGTCCTCCACCACCTCCAGAAACCAGCGCCAGATGGCGAACCAACCTGGCTCGGGGCGCGGAAGCTAGAGCTTATGAATCCGTAGAGGGTGACCACCTTACAAAGTTGCTTGCATTTATGGTGCAGCACAACCTAGAAGAGTACAAGAAACAGAACCCCGACTTTGCTGTAAGTCCCAAATATTTCAAGTCCGAGGTAACACTTCATTACGAGTGCTTTCCAGAAATATCCACCTTCAAGTCCTGAAGCGCAACGGCCGCGAGCTATACTTTTTATTACCGACCGATCCATGGACATGCTTGCGCCATTCCCTCATGAGTTTACGTATCAAGCGATGGCGAATGACCTTCTACCCATCGAAAATGGCACTAAGTACACGTACGGTGTTACACTTCATTGTCAATATTTTGTACCTAACAAAACTCTTCAAGATATAAGTTCCAGTCCTCTATTGGGGCGTACGAGGACAAAACTGCGACCCTCTCTGACAGTGATACTGTCTGGACGGAGGTCCGACACATGCACATGCGAGAGGCCATTGATAAGTTGATGCTTGATTTTAACAAATTCTTGCAAGAGAATGCAGTATTTAAAGGGTAGGTTTTTTCCCATATGGCCCTTTTATATGCTTAAATGAAATCAATATTTACAGGGAGGGCGCCGCGAGTTTGAACGACATGAAGGAAATGCTTGCGAACCTTCCGCAATACCAAGAACAGCGCGAGAAGGTGGGTGTGCCATAATAGCAAATCGTTCAATAACTTATATTGGGGCTTTAGTTCTCTTTGCATTTGAATATGGCACAAGAATGTATGGCGATATTCGAGCGCGACAAGCTACCTCTCGTTGCGAACGTCGAGCAGGTGTGTAGCCGTTTCCAATTTTATCTTTCCAACTCATTAGTCGTATTGTAGAACTGCGCGACTGGCCTAACAGCAGAAGGGAAGACTCCGAAATCCTTGGTCGAGGAAATGGTGCCACTGCTCGACAGCCGAGACGTTGTGTAAGTTCTTCCTGTCAGTCTTCGAACCTCTGGTTTGATCAATTCCACTAGCAACATGAACAAGGTTCGCATTGTGGCCTTATATATCCAGCATCGTGACGGTGTACCAGAAGAGGATCGTAGAAGGCTCTATCAGCACGCACGCTTGACCCTTGCAGAGCAGGATGCTGTTAATGCGCTGGCGCTCATGGGTGTTCGAATCAATAGGGTGAGTATTTATCTTTTTTATTAATGTCATTCACTTAGAAACCGTTACCAGCTTGCTTCTGACCGAGATACCAAGAAGAAGATCAAGCAAAAATCAAGTACCGATGAGGAATACGACCTTTCGCGATTCAAGCCATTATTAAAGACTATCCTCGAAGTAAAGCCCTTGTAATGCTTATTCTGTTCTTCACTAATACCCCATATATAGGACCATGTTGCTGGGAAGCTTGATAATACACTTTTCCCTTATGCCAAGGAGGCTCCATCTACCGCGGCCGTTGCTCCGAGTTTGAAATCTCCTCCTCCCCAAGCAACATCTCTTCGTAGCCAGAAGCCGTCCTGGCACAGGGCCCCAAAACCGGGAACGACACATACAGAAACGCGGCAGCGCTTGATCGTGTTCATTGCCGGTGGTGTTACTTTCTCAGAGCTCCGCGAAGGTTATCAACTTTCCACCTCGTTAAACAAGGATATCTACATTGGTATCATTGTCATCTTCATTGACGGTTCTTTCACTAATCCAGCATCCACTTCAGGCTCAACACATACTATTACTCCGCGCCACTTTGTCGATGATTTGAAAGCCCTTGAACTAGGCGGAGTTGGATCTAAAGCACTGCCCAATGGCATTCGCGAGAGGCAAGGACAGCGCACCTTCCAGGAATGCTACGATGAGAAGTATTACACCAAAGATCCCCCTCCTCCACCTCGAGTAATCCCTGCGTCTCTTGCTCCACGTGCCCAGGCCCCGAAGATGTCGCCGGCCAACTCTCACTCCTCAACACATTCGGTTACCCCAACACCGTCGATGAAAGAGGAGAAGAAAAAGAAGAAGGGAGGGTTGTTCCGGTTTTAACCAATATTGGACTGACCAAACTGGTCTTGTACTTTCTACGTGGATGTAATTTAACTCAGCTGCACCTCGGGATACCGTGGTTTTTCACTTTGGCCTTGGAAATATGATAGAAAGTCGTTTGCAAAGTAAGGAAGGTACATACAAAATTAGACCAACAGTTGGAGAGTAATGAAAAAGTAGAAGATAGTTGCTATTTGCTTTCAGTCAAGTTGTATATCACCTTCTCGCCTTGAACAAAGATGTTAACCACGTCGCGCTACGTCCACCGTTTGGGGAGGCGGCCGGTGCCTTGGCAAGGCTTCAACTAGCTTCGGTGAGGGATGCTGAGAAATTACTCTTGCTCAGGCTCATATTGAATTCCAATTTATAGACGCTGAAATAGCCTTAGCCAATGGGTGATATATCAACTTGGAGAGTTTGTTGACCACAATTGAGTGAAATGTTCGAACAAAAGCAGTTTCCTCTCCAAAGCAAAACGTCTGTATTCGTCTATCTCGTTCAAGCCTGCCTATGTAGAATACTCCATCTTGGCTGAAAGTTACCTGTCAGAGACCATACTGAAGAAGGAAAAGATATGTGACTCACTTTCGTGTTTCTTCGCCTCGCCTACCTTCCGAGCAGCCTTGGTGAGGTCCTCCTGGTTGATGTATTCCCTGTGTCGGGCATGATTCAATGGATGTATCAAACACATCAAAGGTCAACTAACCTATCGTCCCGGATCGCAAACATTCCTGCCTCCGTCACAACATTCCGTAGATCAGCACCGTTGAAGGAGTCAGAGAGCTAGGGAGACTAATGAGCAAGTCAAAATATTTAGAGTAACCTGGATGTCGTACTTTGACAATGGCCTCATAGTCAATGTCACCGCCCTTGTTAACAGGCGCAGCGTGGATTTTGAGGATCTCTAATCGGGCTTGCTCATTGGGCAAAGGCACCTCAATTTTCCGATCTAGACGACCAGGACGAAGTAGAGCCGGGTCTAGCGTATCCGGTCGATTCGTGGCCATAATAATTTTGGTCTTCCCCAGCGAGTCGAAACCGTCCATTTGGTTAAGAAGCTCCATCAACGTCCGCTGAATCTCGCGATCCGCACTGGTTCCCTCGGAGAACCGCCGTCCGCCAATTGCATCGATTTCGTCCATGAAAATGACGCAGGGTTCGTGGTCTTTGGCATACCCAAACATTTCGCGAACTACGCGTGCACTCTCACCAATGTACTTGTCAACGATTGCGGAAGAGACAACCTTGAGGAAATTGGTGTTGAGGGTGGCAGCGACAGCTCGGGCCAAGAGAGTCTTGCCCGTTCCAGGAGGCCCGTAAAGCAAGACACCCTTCGGGGGTTTAATGCCAACCCGAAGGAACAATTCAGGATTTAGAAGTGGTAGTTCGATAATCTGTTGTATGTTCCTCAGAATTACTAGGCAGCGGTGTATAATGCACGAACTTACCTCGCGGAGCTCTCGCACTTGCTCTCCCAATCCACCGATCATAGCAAACGAGGCTCCTCCAGGATCCTCCAGACTCATTTTGTACACCATAGGATCAACCTCGCGTGGAAGTATTCGCATTATTGTTAACGTAGTCATATCAAGTGAGACGCGGGTCCCCGTCTTTAGCTTGGCCGCTGGGAGTGCAGGACGATATGAGACGACATATCGTGGACCTGACGATGCTTTCACAATAACTAAAGAAAAATCCTCGTAAATTCGATTTCATGCAAGAAAACACGATAAATCTTACACCGTTCATCGTCCAACTGCTTCATGACCTCTCCGATAATCTGCCCGACGGACTGTACTGCTTTGATGTCATCCTCAGTCTTCTCATATGCCTTTTCCAAATCCTTGAGAGAAAATCGGACTACATGGATTTTTCGGGTGAGAAAACAATCGAATAACGGGTGGACAATCCGCACGGTTCTTCAGGCTTTCACTGTTCGCTTCATGGTTGCGCATTTTCTACACCCAGTGAATGAATAGAAGAAGCATGAGTGAGATGAATAACTTACCTCCCTATAAGCCTTAAGTGCATCCTTCCTACGCTGGTCGATAGCACCAGAAGACGTCGAGGGGTCCATGATTCAAGTATGTCGAGTATAAGTCGTCGGAGACGCGTAAGCTCGACGCGTCCTACCCATTTTGGGACTGCCTGGGAGGCTGTGATCGTGGGAATTTATTTCCCAATTAGGGCCTGATGGTCTAGTAGTATGATTTTCCTATATCGAGGAGGTCCTGGGTTCAATACCCAATTAGGCCCACCTTTTTTGCACCACTTGGGAAGGGAAATGAGCATAGTGGGTACAACTTAGTATCCAATCCCCATAGCATCCATCCAGTTGCTCAAATTAGGCGGAGACGTGTGAACGACTTATTTTCAAGGCTACTGGTACAACTACAGCACATTAGTTGTAAACCAAAGATAGAAGTACTCAACTACCAAGGCTTCCCTGACGCGAGACAATAGAACAACTTGTAGAATGTGTATGGAGATGGAGAGTATGAAGCTGAAATTTTTGTTCTCGAGCTTACCAGGTGGTACAGTAGAAGTCGGCATGCTTGAACCTCTTCCTGATCTCACTGCGGGCATTAGCTGCTATTTTTGGCAATTATAATCCAGATATATGGAGAATATATTGAAGTCCATGATGGTGATTGGTCAATCAAAATATATTCGTCAATTTTCATTGGAATATATTTTGATGATAGCAGCCAATGTCCGCAGTGTCTGGTCCAGGAGGTGCCAGCCAGGGGTGCAATAAGTAACATGGTTGCTGGTAGAGCTGCCTATGCTACTTCCAGAGTGGATTTGGCCAACGATGAAAGCTTTCTTGTCCCTCGTGTACCAAACGAGGGAGCCTGAGTCTCCCTCAGCAGAGAAGACGTTGGCATGCTTGATGCCCCAGTTGTAGATGCCAAGCTCGACAGACTCGGTGCTGGCTTCGTTGAGAGTGAACAACACCAGGCCAGCGTAGTGTCCGGTAGTGATGTCGGTAGTGTTGCCATCTTTACCGACGATGAGGCAGGGCTGGCCTTCTCTGTCAATCTCTGTGGGGTTGGTGAGGTCCTCTTTTGTGGCACAACCTGCAATCCTGAGCTTTCTCCCTGTAGGAAAGTTGAAGGTCGGACCACCCATTGGGTAGAACAACTTCATAAGTTCTGGAGGAGAATACTTGGATTCTGAATAAGGTTGTTTTTGTTAGACAAGATAAAAATGAGAAAAATTGAAACACACCAAGATCAATGATGTTACCCTTGAACTGACTCCTGACCTTCTCCTCAGTGACCTGGAATGCAGCCCAGTCTGAGGTATGCCGTGTGCTGCCTTCAACGTCGACTGTGATGGGTGCAGCATATTGAACATGTCCAATGTCGCAATTGTGATTAGTGTCGGACCACTGAGTCTCAACTGCTTTATAAAAGGTCTGGAGATTGACAATAGCCCTCTCCTTTTCACCTAATTTTTGTTGATTCACCTTCATCTCCATCGTGTTGTCCTTGTCCTGTGCCTCTTTCTCCTTCAGCTCAATGATGTCTTGTGTCAAAAGGTCAGCGAGATTGCTGTGGCCATTGATGGCCTTCTTGACCTTGTCGAGGCCCTGCTGGAATTGACACATTCCACATAGTCAAACGTGATCCCTTGTTGCACTACCTTAGTGCTTGTACTCAATGGTGGTATCCTTACGAAGGACGTGGCAATTGATGAATCCGTAAACCTTGTTGCTAATGTTGCCATCCTTGCCTCTGCTTTCATGGAACCAGAGGGTCGGAGTGCCCTGGGCATCCTCATTCTCCTCTGTTGCAAGGGGGACACCAAGAAGGGCAGCAAGGAAGCGATGGACATGGTGGGTGGGATTGATGCTGCCGACATGGCGCATGAGCGGCGGACCTGCCAACTTCTACAGGAAGGCCTCATGCCATTCCACAATAACATCATTGACTCCATTTTCAAGGAGAAGTGTAAGGATCTCTTGTGAGACCTCATGGGTGGTATCAGAAGTGGTAGAATTTGGAATAACACCAACCTATATTACAACAGGGCTGAGACTCCCCTTCTCCTTCTCTTCTGGCAGTCCATGGGTATAGAAACGGGCAGGGTCAACAGATGACCAGCTAATCCTGCGAGCCTTGATTAAATCACAAATCTCGGGACTGACAGTGTCCCAGATACCATTGAGTGGGGTGTTGAAGACTCCACAGAGCGACTTGACAAGCATATCAGGGTGTCTGCCAACAGGCTCAAGGAAGGGTGTACTTAGGCAATCAGAATGGTAAACGAGTTTTGGGTGGTCGGCGTCTCCAGTGATGCCATTATAGTATGAAATCCTCTCAGACTTGTTGGGGGTGTACTGGGAGACAGTGGTGGCATTGCCGGTGGAGAGATTAGAAGATGCCACAGATGGCATTGCTAGTGATAGTGAGGGCCAAGAGATTGGAAGAAAAGCTTCAAAATGTCAGTGTAGAAGACAAGAGAAAAAAAAGGATAGGACTTACTTGGAGAATGCAGATGAACTCAGAGTAGAGTGTTCAGCAAAGTTCATGAGAGGAGGTAAACAGCTTTCTCTTATAATGATATAGGCTCAAACCTTCACGATACCTACTTAGCCCCCCTTTAAGGCTCCTAATATTTCTTTCTTTAGCAGAATATACCATGTATGCTGCTGGTGTCGAATAAACAATCAACGGACAAGATTCAAGATGATGTCATGAATCGCTATCCTGAGACCTGATCTTCTCCTAATTATGTCTCCTCTTGAGTTCCTGTAAGTATGAGGACTGCCTTCCAGCTAGATAGGAAACATTAGACCAGTTTGCATTCTGCTCTGTTCAGAATTCTTGTTTACTTGTGGAGCCTTACAAACATGTCCAGCAGAGATTTGTCTAAATTTAGCCTTGCCGTCTCGATGACCTTCAATGACCCAAGGGTGAATACCCAACAAACATACCAGATAAAACGATTTTCTCTTTCTATGATACTTTTAGATGATTTTAAAGTGCTTCTATGATGAATTAAGACACAAAAATTGTCTACCTGAGCAAAATTTAACCTCAAATCTGAGATTGATGTGTTTGTACAGCCTCAAAAGTAAACAAGAATTCTGAAGGGAGCGGGATTTTTGAACAAACATAATGCATGATGTCATAACATGTGATAATCACAAGTTACTATTATTAGATAGAACACTCTAGAACATGAAGGTTCCAGAGCATTACTCAGTATGACTCATTATTGCACCATATTGCATCATAATGCTGTGTGATACCTTACTAATTGTATATACTTGTTTACATACTCTGTAGTATATAAACCCTCTGTATTCGTCTACTGTGATAACAGAGT